GATGAGTGTAATGTGAGGGGAGCAAACAAAGAAGCTTCCAGAATGAAGCTCAAGAAGCTGATTAGGGCCAATGATATCAGTTTAGTTACAATTTTGGAACCAAAATTATCACCTTCCAGACTTAGAGATCTTTGTCTTAGCTTGGGTTTTACTTCCTTTTCAGCGAACCCATTGGCTGAAAAGCATATTTGGATTTTATGGGATCATAGGGTGTGGATAGAAACTTTTGCAGTTCATGAACAAGCTTTAACAGTTAGGATTTCTTTTATGGGTTCTGCCCCAATTTTAGTTTCATTTGTTTACGCAAAGTGTGATCACATTCTCAGAAGGCCCTTATAGGCTCACCTAGCTGATTTGTCTTCTTTAAATGAGCCTTGGATGATAGTTGGGGATTTTAACACTATCATATCTTCATCAGAAAGGAAAGGAGGTGCCACTCCTAGTCTCTCTATTATGAATGAATTTATTTGTTTTATAGATTCCCTGGGTTTACAAGATTGTGGTCATACTGGTACCACTTTTACATGGTGTAATGGTCATCATGGGTTGACTAGAATGTGGCAACAATTGGATAGGGCGTTAATTAATCTGAAGTGGAGTGAAAAATTTCATACAACTATTGTGGAACATGCTGCCAGAGGTTCTTATGATCATTGTCCCTTGATTATTAAGTGTTCTATAATGGCTGGCCTTGCAAGGTTATCTTATTTTAAATTTGTGGATATGTGGACAGAACATGTGGGTTTCCTTCCTTTGGTGCAATCTGCTTTCGTGGGTTATTACTCACATAACCCACTTGAGAATTTATTTTTGAAGCTAAAGTTTTTGAAGTTTAAATTGAAGGTTTGGAATAAAGAATCATTTGGGAATGTTTTTAAGAATATCAAGAAATGTGAGCAGTGTTTGCTGCAAGCAAAGATTGAGGTGGAGAATAATGACTCTGAATCTCATGTTTTGCTCATGGAGGCTGCGAAAGATGAGCTTGATAAGGCACTCAAAATAGAAGAAATATTTTGGAGACAAAAAACTAATATACAATGGACTGTGGAGGGGGAGAGAAACACGAGACTGTATCATGCTGTTGCGAAAGGGATAACTTGTAGAAATAGAATATCTAGAATCAAGAATGCTCAAGGTGATTGGGTGGAGGAAGAGAATGAGATTGCACACATTGCTGAGGATTTCTTTTCTGCACTGTATACATCTGAAGTTCATCAATTGGAGGAGGATTTATTCTCAGTTATTCCGGCCTTAGTCACAGATGATGACAATGACATGTTTATTGTTCTGGTCTCTTTAGAAGATTTTAAAGATGTGGTATTTGATATGTCAGTACATAGTGCTCTAGGTCTGGATGGATTCTCTGGTAAATTTTTTCAAGCGGCATGGGATATCATTAAGTAGGATTTACTTGTTGTAGCTAACTTCTTTCTACAAGGAGGAGTGATTCCTAGATCGGTTAATTATGTTCTACTGTCTCTTATTCCAAAGAAAGATAATCCTTTTAATTTCTCAGATTTTGGGCCAATAAGTCTTTGTAACTTCATATACAAAATCCTTACTAAGCTACTGTCTTCTAGATTGAGAACCCTTCTTCCCAAGCTTATTTCAGATGAACAACAAGGCTTTTTTCAGGGAAGGAGTATCAGTGATAGTGTTGCTATAGCTCAGATGATGGTGAATGGATTGGATAGAAAGGTGGAGGCAGGGAATACTATAGTCAAGCTAGACATGATGAAGGCATTTGACAGACTTGAATGAGATTTCTTAAAGCATACCTTGAAGTGCTTTGGCTTTTCTGATACATTTATCCTTATCATTTCCAATTGTCTAAATAACTAGCAGATTTCCTTATCAATCAATGGAGTTCAACATGGTTTTTTCCCTACATCAAGAGGGTTAAGGCAAGGTGATCCTCTTTCCCCTACTTTATTTATTATTGTGAGGAAGTTTTAAGCAGGGGACTCAGACAGAAATTTCTTAAAGGAACAATACGAAGGTTTCACACTGGCAAAGGTTCAAAGTTAATTAGTCACCTCCTATTTACTGATGATACGCTTATTTTCCTAAGGGGAGACAAAAGATCATTTTCTAATTTGCTAAAATTCGTGGAAAGGTATGAAGCTTCTTCTGGGCAGAAGTTAAATTGACAAAAGAGCTCTCTTTACTGTTCAACTAAAATCCCTTTTTCAAGAAGAAATAGTTTATCTCGTTTAGCAGATATCCCACTCAAAGCATGTCCTTTCACTTATTTTGGTTGTCCTATTATCAAGGGTAGGGTCAAACTCATCTATTTTGAGGAGTTATTACAGAAGTTCCAAACTAGAATCCATGGATGGTATGGTAAATTACTTTCTAATATGGGCCGCATTACTCTTATCAATTCAGTTTTTGCTTCTCTCCTTGTCCACTTACTGTCTACTCTAAACCTTCCTAAAGGAATTATAGCAAAACTCAACTCGATTACAGTTGCCTTTCTATGGTCTGGGAAGTTTGAGGTGAAGAAAAGACATTGGTGTTCTTGGTCAAAAGTTACGCTGCCAAAGGAGAAGGGGGTATTAGAAAATTTGAGGAATCAGAGCAAGCTTTCAAAATGAAGCAGATTTGGTGTTTGATGCAGAATACGTCCTTATGGTCATCGTTATTTGCAGCTAAATTACTACATAATCAGCACATTCTAAGGAACTTGAGTTCAAGTCGCTTTAGCAGTCTTAGAAAATAACAGCCATGGTTTGAATTAGTAATGGAAAAAATGCAGAAGATGGCGGGGACTGGTAGCTCTATTGACTTTTGGTGTGACAACTAAACAAGGTTGGGTCCTTTAATTTTATGAAATTCTACTATTCCTTCATGCTATCCTAAACTATCCTAAGTTTTGGTTTAGGATCAATGGGACTTGAGTGATGTTCAAAAGGAGATGGATGAGGAACTTATTCAAGAGGTTTTATCTTCTAATGTCTCTATTTCTAATAGACAAGATAGATTGGCATGGAAGCCTACATCTATAGGTTTTTTTACTGTTAAAACAGCTTGGGAAGTAATAAGAAGTCAGGGTTAGCAGAGTGTCCAGGCAGCATCAATTTGGAAGCAAGCTTCACCCCTTAGTGCACATTTGGTTGGTTGGAAAATTTTGAGAAACGCTTTGTTGAGAAACGCTTTGCCAATGGATTCTACCTTTCGAAGTATGGGAATCTCTTTGGTGAGTAGATGTGTCTTATGTTGTAAAGATGAAGAAACAATTGATCATATGTTCATTAATTGTGACTATGCATTAAACATTTGGAGTAAACTTTCCACCTTACTGGGATTTCAAATCATACAAGGAGAATCTCCAATAACAAGGTTTCTTGGACTACTTAGAAATTTTGAGCGTCCATCGCTTTTTCGATCGTTGATGAGAGGTATCTCCTTGATTGTATATTGGCAATTATGGAAAGACATGTGTAGGAGGATCTTTGAAGGGCAGGGGGTAACACTCAACTTCTGTTTATTATAGAATTCTGCATTTTTGGAGATTGCAAAGCTCATAATATCTGACCCAAGGTAGTAGACTTTGGTTATGACCAATCTTTTCTTTCTTCTCTTAATGTCTCCTCTGTCTATACCATATCCAAATCTGCTAAATGGATACGTTGGGAATTACCACCTGAAGGAAATCTTAAACTCAATATTGATGGTGCCTCTAAGGGCAATCTAGGACTTTCTAGTGGAGGAGTGGCTCTGAGAAATCATTGGGGTATTCTGGTTCTAGCTGGATCCTTCTTCTATGGAGTTTGTACTAATATGGAAGCTAAAATGAGATCTTTGCTTGATGATTTGCGTTTGTTAAAAGAGTTTGGTTTGGAGGTCTATCCACTTACTATTGAAAGTGACTCTCAAGTTTTAGTTGACATGGTTAAATAGAAGAAGTTGCCTAGTTGGAGACACTGGAACATTTATTATCAAATCTTTTCTTTACTTGAGTATTTCAACTTTCAAATCCAGCATTCATATAGAGAGGGAAATACTATGGCAGACTCATTGGCCAATGTAGGTGTTCAGAACAAAACTTCTGAGTCCTATTCCTCTTTTGTAACGCTACAAATCCAAACCAAGCAACTGCTATGGCAGGATCAAAGACAGATTAGATCTTTGCGTTCTAAGATTACATCTTCAAGATTGAAGTCACAACTTTTATAGCATCTACCTTTATTCAAACGAATGGACTGGTTTCTTTTAGGAAGCAAATTGGTCATGATTCTTATTCTACTCAAGCAATTGAATGTCGATCACACATAGAGAATAAGGTGTGAAGTTCTATCTAAACAACATGCATGCAGAATACAGGAGTTCATGCTTACTAGTCATCTCCTTCTGTCAGCTGGTTCTCCTCAACTCAATCATTTCTCACAGCTCAGGCTCCAAATATCAACTCAATTACACTCTATTGTAGCTGGTCTTTTATGCTGCCCACACCTCAGTTGCCATTTTAGGAGCTGCATGTTTAGGATTTATTTTCTTTCGTTTATCATGTACTAAGCATGCATTTTTTCTGTCTTGTCAATTTTATTCTATGTAATTAGATTGCATCGAGGGGTAAGGTACATATGCCCCCTGACTAAGTGTAATTTAATTTTTTTTTAATCAATAAATTTCCCTCGTACTGTCAAGGTTCACCAAAAAAAAAAAGTGGATCTCACTAAAAAAGTTGATGTGTAGAGTTTACGATGGTCTTCCAGTGGTGATTATATATGTTGACAGAGATTGTAATCCTACATTTTTGGGCCTATTAGCAGATGGTGAGAAGTTACATAGCTCTCAGGTCCAAGTTGAAAATCAACTTATTGACTATTTAAGGGACAATAATGATGGTAGTGAGGGTACTAGAGCACATGGGGATGAAGTGGGTAATACGGGTGAGAGTGATAGTGACTCTAAAGATGAGGACAATTTGATAAGTGGGACTGAAAATGAAGAGAATGATGGCCCTAGCTAGTTCTTTGATGATTTTAAGGGTCCTAATGATGATGATATATTCCACAGCTCAGTACATGCAGATGTATTGGAACCAGAAGGAAGAAGTAATGCAACTAAACAAATTGTGTTAGAGGAGGACATGTTTGGGAAATGGTGATCTGATGTGGGGGAAGATGAAGAACTACTTAGTTTGAGAAGGTCGTCAGATGATTAGGGTGATGGTTACCCCTAGTTTAATGAGAAAATGATAGAGAATCCTAAACTAGTGATGGGAATGAAATTTCCACCTGCTCAAGTTTTTATAGAGTTGCTAAGGGAGTATAATATCAAATATGTAAGCATATGTTAAAAACAACAGAAATTATGGGATTACTGTGAAATAGTTAGAAAACATAACCCCAATAGTAAGCTTTTCTTAAAACTAGATCTAGATATATTGCAACCAACATTGAAAGGAATAAGGTAGATTTTAGAAATTGCTTCCCTACTTGGTGTGGTGAGTTGGAGTTTGAGGTAGAACATTATGATAGAGCGTGTATTGTTGATCTTAGAAACAGAACTTGTGCTTGAAAGAGGTGGGAACTTAGTGGTATACCAACAAAACCATGGGCAACTAGAATCATATATACACAAATACTACTTGAAACCTACCTATTTCTAACATGATACACCTAGTTGCTAGGATGCATGACTTTGCTCACACTAATTACCAACCATTAAACCCCCTTTTTGCTAGAAAATTGCTTGGTAGGGTTAAAAACCTGAGATGGAGAGAGCCAGATGAGCCCATAAATCCACACAAAGTATCAAGAAGACACCTTAATGTGACATGTGTTGAGTGCTTGAAGACTGGACATAACAAAATCAAAAATGTTAAAGGTAATGGAATTATGATTATGCTAAGTGCTTGAATTTGCCTATGTTTCATTTGCTTGACTAACTAAATATCTTGCAATCCAATGTTGGCCAGTCATCTAATGTGAATGCTCAGTCATCTAATGTTGGTTAGTCATCCAATATTGGTCAACCATCAAATTTAACAAGTTAGCCAATATAAAGTTGAACACCACTTGAAAGAATGATAATTCAACGAACACAATTTGTGGTTAACTATCCTGAATTATGCAATTATTTGCAAGCATGGTCATTCATTCATTTAAGTTGGATGTTTTATTTGATATAGTGTGATAAGTTACCAACATATGGTGGAAAAAAAGACCAAGTTTCTGGGAGGGGGACAAGTGGTTTAGGGATTGTTGTTGGAAATACTGTAACTACTACAGGAAATGGTGCTAGGATGGGTACAAGTGCTGATAGGAAGGGAAAAAGTGCTTTTGATAAGGCCAATGGTGTTGGGAGTGACACTGGTGCTGGCAAGGCCAATGTTGCAGGAAGGAGCAATGGGGCTAGAAATGGTGCAGTGGGTAGAGGAATAGGAGGAAGAGTAACACTTTCCGATGTGTTAGATAAAATCAAAGCAAGAAATTGGAAAGATTAGCAGTTTTATCTTTTCAAATATGAAGAATATTGTTCTTTTGGCAAAGCTAATAATTACAAGTTTGTTTTGCTTTTTTGAAAGAGTGTAAGGATTACTTCCCGTGGAGCTATGAAGAAATGTTTGGTCTAGACAGAACATTTGTCGAGCATAGGTTGCTAATCAAGAAGGGGTTTCGTGCTCATAAATAACCTCCCAGAAGGATGACTATCGAGGTGACTCTGCTAGTAAAAGAAGGGATTGAGAGGTTATTAAAAGCATGGTTCAGAAGGATTGCCAGATATATAGAGTGGCTTTCTAATATTGTTCCTATAATTAAAAAGAAGATTGAGAAAGTCAAAGTTTGTATAGACGTCAGAAATTTAAATATTGCAACTCCTAAAGATGAATGTCCAATGCTTGTAGCAGACATCTTAATCGATTCTATTGCTAGGCATGTTATTTTGATTTTTATGGATGGACATGATGGTTATAATAAAAAATATAGCAGAGAAAGATATCTATAAAACTACTTTTAGATACCCACGTGCATTAGGGACCTACAAATGGGTTGTAATGCCATTTGGCATTGAAAATACAGGAGTTACTTACCAAAGAGTGATAAACCTTATATTCCATGACATGATANATGTGCATTAGGGACCTACAAATGGGTTGTAATGCCATTTGGCATTAAAAATACAGGAGTTACTTACCAAAGAGTGATAAACCTTATATTCCATGACATGATAGGGAAATCATTAGAAGTATACATCGATGATGTAGTTCAAATTAGATGACCAAGAATCGCATTTGGAGAGCCTAAGAAAGGCTTTCCAGAGAATGAGAATGCCCAAGTTGAAACTGAATCCTTTAAAATGTGCATTTGGTGTTTCTGCTAACAATTTCTTGGAATTTTTAGTCCATTAGAAGGGAATTGAAGTAGATAAGAGCAAATTCAAGGCCACCCTAGAAGCCCAAGTGCTAGCCAATAAAAAGGAACTGCAAAGGTTTTTAGGTCAGGTAAATTTCTTAAGGTGGTTCATTTCAAACCTTGCAGGGAAAATAGTGATTTTTTCACCTTTGCTGAAGCTTTAGATCATAAGCTGAATTCAAATGGGAGGAGGTGCACCAAAAGGTCTTCAAAAAAATCAAAGAATATTTGACAAGGCCTCCAGTACTGATGCCAACTAAGAAAGACAAGTCATTAAAACTATATATCTCAGCTGGGGACAAGTCTATTGATAGCCTTGTAGCACAAAATAATGATCAAGGCCATAAGAAAACATTTACTACTTAAGTAGGGAATTAAACAGTGTGGAATGCATTTATTCTTCCATAGAAAAATTATGTTTGGCTCTGTATTTCTCTATAGTAAAATTAAGATATTATTTTCTCCTAGTTATTGCATGCATTGTCACTCAGGTTGATGTAGTCAAGTATATGCTCACACGACCCTTGTTGAGGGGAAGAATGGCAAAAATTGATTCTTACCTTAGCAGAATGTTGCTTTTAATATGTGTCACAAAAGGCAGTTAAAGGCCAAGCTTTGATTGACTTTCTAGCAAACCACCCAAGTATCCTCATCAAATGAAATTTTTCTGAAATAGGCAACATAGAATTAGCACCCTAGAAATTAATGTTTGAAGGGTCTAAGACTGAAGGAGGAATAGGAGCTGGGATTGTGCTAGTATCAACAGAAGGTAGGATGTTCCAGTTTACTTACCAACTAAATGAGACATGGGTTTTGTCGCACAACCAGGCTGAATATGAGACTTTAATTATAGGCCTAGAAATAACCTTAGAAATGAAAATTAAGAATCTGTTGGTTGTAGGATATTCACAGTTAGTGATTAAGCAAGTGCAATGTTGGTATAAATGTAGTCACCTTGTGCTAGAAAAATAAATTAAAAGAGTGTAGTTCCTCATACAGGGTTTCAAGGATGTTTAGTTTGAACATGTTATGAGACTTCATAATTGAAAGGCCAATGAGATGACCCAAGCTGCCTCTGGATTAGAAATTCCAGAAGGATTGATTATAAAAAACTAGAAAAGGCATTTACCAACAGTAATGACATGGCCAGTTGATATCCTAGCTATAGAGATTGAAGAAACAAATTGGAGGTTTTCTATTATCAAGTATCTACAAGATCCATATCAGAATGCATAAAGGATTACTAGAAATCGGGCTACAAATTATGTCCTTTTAGAAGAACACCTGAAGGAAAAATGTTGTTGTGTATTAGCAAGCTAGATGCTATGAAAATTATGGCAGAGATCCATCAAGGAATTTGTGGTTCTCATCGGTCAAGTGAAAAAGATGAGATAGATAATCCATAGGTATGGACAATATTGGTCAACTATGAGAAATGACTACATCACCTATGCAAATGGATGTCAGGCCAGTCAGAAATATGGACCAATTCATAGGGTCCCTACTATTGAATTACATTCGATTGGAAAGCCATGACTATTTAGGGGTTTGGTAATGGATTTGATTGGTCAAATTCACCCTGGCTCATCGAAACAACATTCGTATGTAATAGTGTCCATTGATTATTTTGCAAGGTGGGTTGAGACAATACCCATGAAATCAGTAGATTAGCAAAAAATAATTGACTTTATTAAGGAATACATTGTTTGTAGGTTTGGATTGCCTCAAACAGTTACTGTCGATCAAGGAACTATGTTCACATGGGTAGAAATAACAGAGTTTGCATCTGAACGTAGAATATAGATGTTGAACCCATCTCCTTATTATGTTCATTCCAATGGGCAAGCAAAACTGGCGAACAAAACATTGAAATCAATCTTAGAAAAAATTATAGAAGATAACCCAAGGCAGTGGCATGAATTATTGTTAGATGCTTTGTGGGCATATAGAACTTCAAAGAAGTCTAGCATAGGACGACCCTATTCAAATTGGTGTATGGGCATGATGTTGTGATACCTATGGAGATAACAGTAAAATCAAGAAGGGTGTTAGAGCATAAGGTATGTCGACAGAAACATATTCTCAGGCTATGTTCCTTGAATTGGAGGATATGTAAAATAATCAATTGGAAGTATTGGACCACATCCAAATACAGAAAAAGAAGATATAAAGGACTTATAATAAAAAAAGTTAAGTCCAAAAGTTTTTCAGATAGAGATTTGGAGTGAAAAGCCATCTTGCCTTTGGGAAGTAAAGACAAAAAATATGGCAAGTGGTCTCCTACTTGGAAGGGACCCTTCAGGGTAGGAAAAATATTAAGAGTGGAGCTTACCACTTACAGTCTTTAGAGGGAGAATCGTATAGGAAACTCATTAATGGAAGATATTTAAAAAGATATTATCCAAGCACGTGGGATTCTTATAACATTAATTATTAAAAAAATAGAATTACCAAACAAACAAAAGGGAATTGAAAAGCATATATTCCTGAAAAGTTGCTTATAAAGTAAAAGGCCACAAGTTTTGGCAATTCCATAGAACATAGTCAAAATTATAAGAAGCCAACAAGCAAATAAAACAATATGCCAAGAAAAGTGTCGTCGATATCTTTTTTGAGATTTGCTTCTCCTTAAGATGGGACATAGGGAGTCTCCACATCAAAAAAAGGTTCAATAGTGGCAGTAGTTTCTGGGAGAGTTAGGGAGGAGGTTGAGTCAGTTTCAGTTGTTGTCGCCTCACCAGTTATCTGTGGAGATGGCTTGGAAGAAAAGCCCCTTGGTTCTTTTGATTGATGCTTTTTTGTGATGGATTTTCCCTAGTGGCAAGATTAGTTGAAGGGTCATTCACAAGGAGACCTTCATTTGTAAAAGAGAAACTATAAGGGAAAAGTACAAAAGTTGTTGCTTTAAGTTCATCCAGCAAGCGTGTAGGCAGGAAAGACAGATCGTTGGTTTTTTCATTGGAAAATCTTAACCTAGATATATAACCATCTAAGTGGTCATTGAATATCAAGGTAGAAATATGCTGCCACCAATTAATAAAAATGGGAGAGATAGATGATTCCCCATACAGGCGCTCAAAGCAAAAAAATTTTAAAGCCTTATTGTAGGTTGATGAGATTATTTTGACAGCGTAAGGGTCCCTCAATATAACCTTGTTGTTAGCATGTTCATCAATAAAAAGATGCATAAAAGGTACAAGAATACTTTGGTTAAAGCCAAGTTCTCTAGCAATCTGATTAGGGAAGTAAGATTCAAAACTACAACGACTATACTTTGAATCATGAACAACACCATCTACATGAAGGTAACGAGGAAGAAGAATGCCTCCCCAAAAGTTATGAAAGAATGTGGCTTGCTAGTCGGAAGGATCAATGGAGCCATAAAAAATGCTTTAATACAGAGAGAAGAATAAATGCATTAAGAGAAAGGTGAAAAAAAGGGAGGATACCTAATGGAATGCATTGAAATAGAAGTTGAAGTCTTTGTGCAGTGATGAAGATACTGACACAAGCAAGTAATGAACATAATTGAGAGGACAAAACTTTGCAAAAGGGAAGATACTTGATGGCCCAAGTTTCAGGAAAGTAGACATATAGCCATGCTTGGAATAGCTAGAGAGGACCTCCACAAAGATCATTGATGCTTCTCTCACCCATGTCGAAAAGGTCTTTATAAATAGCTCCTAAAACAAAAGGGGCTAAGGCCAGAATGTGACGATCGACAAGAAGAATAACAATGTTGTGGTATTCAATCGTGACTTGAAGATTAGGGCACAGGACAAAGCAACACAGCCAATGTAGAAGGAAAGCAATATGTTATTCATAAGAAGGTGGGCCAGAATTTCGCTTACAGAAAAGTAGACATGGTTGGAATAGCTAAAATTGGTAGGGATATCTACCAAGATGCGCATTTGGTTTCAATGTTGTGGTTATCTCAATACCAGTCAATGCGATTCATGAAAAACTGACAAGTAGAGAGCCTAATTTGTTCATAGATCATTTTCTCTTTCCATTGGTCAGAGAAATGCGCCTCCATTTGTGTCACCTAGTCAGACCATTGTTGGTCTGGGTCAATCCAAGTTTTCAAAGG